AAACAGTATTTAATTATTTAGAAAAGAAATAGGTATAACTCTGAATTAATTTAATAGAAAAACATTTTTAACATACGAAAGATGGCAGAATCGATCTTGGGAGGCAGGCAGGACTCTGTTGTGAGGCAGGCGCGGAGGCGGGTGCGGCGGCGGCGGATGTGGTCTCCTGGCGGACGCCCGCCGTGCCACCGCACGTCCAGCTGCCTTCCGCTGTAACAACGGAACACAAATGGTAAGGAAGATATGATTCACACTCAAGAATTTTTTATTTACATTCACAAAACCCATTGAATTCTAAAACCCATTTCCAAATCTTTCTACAGGGTTTCGTCGCCTCAATAATCTGTCTATGTATATATAAAAGAAAGTCGTGTTAGTTACTCCACTTATTTATAACTCAAGAACAGCTGAACCGATTTAGCTGAAAATTAGGAGGTAGTTTAGTGCCAGGACATTTACCAAGGACATAGGATAGGATAGAGTTGGTAGTGTAGGTTAGGTATAGTGGGGTAGGTATAGTGGGGTAGGTAGAGTAGGGTAGGTAGAATAGGGTAGGTAGAGTAGGGTAGGTAGAATAGGGTAGGTAGAGTAGGGTAGGTAGAGTAGGGTAGGTAGAATAGGGTAGGTAGAGTAGGGCAGGTAGAGCAGGACAGGTAGAGTAGAGTAGGTAGAGTAGGGTAGATAGAGTATAGTAGGTGGAGTAGGGTAGGTAGAGTAGGGTAGGTAGTATAGGGTAGGTAGAGTAGGGTAGGTAGAATAGGGTAAGTAGAGTAGGGTAGGTAAAGTAGGGAAGGTAGAGTAGGGAAGGTGTAGGGTAGGTAGAGTAAGGTAGGAAGTCAAATGACGGGAGCGACGCCGCGGGTAAGTGCTAGTATTGAATATAGATGGCACTAGTATATTAATTGGATTTAAAAATATCTGGTTACAATTTTGGATACCCCTATTTTGTGCAATACTGTAAATGTAAAATAACATAATAGCTTACTTTGTGGTCTCAATTGTGGTTGTGGTGCTGTATGTTCTGATGAGCGATGTGAAGGTTGGGCAGCTGCCTCTAGTGATGGGAACTCTGTGCGAAAGTGTGGGGAAGATGGTGGAGGAAGAGCCCCCCATCCTCCGGCTCCAGTCCCAGCAACCACACTGCTGTTCGATGTTGTGGACTGTGAAAAAACACTTACACATACACATTTTATAGTAATTAATAAACTTTAGGTATCACCCTTATTTAGCTTAGGCCCAAAATTTATTCATATATATTTGATTTTTAATACAGGATGTAATAATATATAACATAAGCCAGTTAGGATATTGGGTGCTTATATGTATAAAAGTAGTGAAACAGGCTCATAAACTCAACAACTTGCACCTATTGTTTGCCACAGTCAATAACCTCTATGATATGAAGCATTTACAATAAATTCTATATCAACAGTAAACAAATATCTTCTAGTTCTAGTAAAACCACCTGAAGTCACAAACCTTTTGTTGAATGTTTTTAAAGCAAAGTGTGAAACAATTGATTACTTACTGTAGTTTGGGAAGTACATACTGGAGTTGTAGATACAGTAGTAGCAACAGCAGAAATAGAGCTGAAAATAAATTTATGGCCTCAGTAAGTACATGTCAATAGGTCAAAGAACCCATCACTGAATCATTCACCTCTACATATGTGAGGTTAAGGTTACTCCCACAAAAACTTGTCTTTTTTCTAGTAGTTATTTTGTATTTTAGCACTGGAATGTTGTAGTGGCAAAATGCCCACTTAGTATGAGCTATACCTATATCTTCATGTACCAATAATAAACATTTTTAACTCAAATCTTTGCTTATAGGCACTGACTGAGCAGGTTAGAAAAAAGCATTACTTACTTTATAGTAGGATCTTGACCGGTTTCAGTTTTCAAAGAAGGCAAGTTGGCAGGTGGACGCCTAGCTGAAGGTACTTTTCCAAGACTTTGCATTCCATGTTTGCGGCTTAGTTGAGATTTTACTGAGGACGGTTCTGAGTTCTCGTTCTACAAAAATAGAATATGTAACTCAAATAATAGGTATTTCACAATTTTCTCACAAAGCAGGAAATAAATTAGTAAGACCTTAAGCATACAGAAAAAGTCTCTGTAGTTTTACCTATTTCATACCACATTTTCTTGGATCAAAAATATCTAAAACAAGGCCATTGTCTATTCTACTGTTGCAACGAGATATGCACTAGGCAACTGAAGGTCAAATTGTTCAACTGTGACTTAATTACAATTGTTTTATGGACAACTGCTAGCTTGCATTTTGTTAACAATGGATTTTTGCTAAGAATCTTATATTTACACAATTTGTTCAAATTTGACACACTATTGAATCAATGATAGCACTACCTACATAATTGCTGGATAAGGCATAGAATTATTTAATATATCGTAATTTTTTTTAATTTATATTTTGGTCCAGGTCATTGAGATTCGTCTTGTTGAGCGTATGAATACCACTAAAATTTATGTAAAAACTACTTACTCTGTTAGCGCAGTACAAGCTATTGATGTCCAACTTTTGATATCTTTGCTTGCCGGACGTCGGCTTGCTCTGCGCCGTAGTGCCTCCGCCGCCCGGCGTCGAGAGTGCAGACATGCTGCGATGTACACACCATCAGGAGGTCACCCTCGCACCGACCACCAACTGCAATTTTCCAAACCCTCACCGTAATGGCCACAATCCAAACGTAACTCACTGTTTCACAGGCAACTACCAAAGACAATCGTCCTTCAAAGTAATAGAATGTATAAAGCTAGTAATGATTCGAAATATTCGACAGAACAGCATCTAAAATTTGCACAATTCAATACATTCACTAACGCACAGAACACTTTCACAGCACTGAACAATAAATTGGGAGCCCTGCCCTCAAAGGTTTATTGACGTGTTACATCCGTCTGATGTACACTGGATCGATGACTTCAATAATTTCACTTACGTTTTAAAATGCACTTTAGTATCCGTTATACTTTGATAACTTTCTACTATCTAGCTCAAAATAACGGTACTAACAAGATCGAAGAAAAGAACGGTAAATAAACTAATTTTTATCTTTCTAGAAAACAATAAAATCAAAATACATCTGTACCTTGGTCCGTTACACTTGATATCACGGAATAAAAAATATCTAAGCTCGATTGCTAATTTCTTAAAGAAGATTACTTTAGATTTAAACTATAATCTACGCTACCAAAAACTTATATCACTTTATTTTAAGATGGCGTCTCCAAAAGACGATCTCCTTCCTTTTAACAATCAATAGTGTGACGTCACAAAGACGCGACACAGCGCTCTCTGGTGGATAAACAGACAAAGCCTGACGATAAGTTTGCCAATTAAATAAATTTAATTCCATACAAAGCATAGAGTAATCTGAACGAATGAGAAAGTCGAATTAAACGTAGTGGTTACATACTCTTTGGTCGAATTGAAAATTCACTTATTGCAGAATGCAAATATTAGTATGTAGCACTAAAAGGGAAATACAGACGCAAACTTAAAGTAAAAACACATTTTAAGCTTTCCAAACAAGTTATTACAAGTATTATTTATATACCTACCCAACTTTTGTTTATTTGTTTTTGTCAAAGACGATTTACAGTTTCATACAAAATTCAGACACCTACATAACATCAAAACGGACCTAAATAGGATTCCCTACTTGATACAGGAACGTCGACTAAACTATTGTCTGTTTTTGTAGTTAACAGCAGGAAAGCTTTTTTTTGAAAAGAATGTCTATCATTATATTTATCAACGTTTAACTGATTTTAACAAGGCCCTACCTAAAAAATAAAAAGCCCAAAACTATACTCAATTATTTGCCATTTGTATCAATATTTTTTGTTCTTGTAGAATTTGCTTCTTTTACGCCTGCGCACTAAAACTTTGCATCATATTGATAAAAGGAAAATCAGTAGGCGAGGATCTGCGGAGAAGCTCATAATACTAGGGGTGTTTGAGAAAACCGGCAGCCATGGCCGGGAATATGGGAATGGAACAATTGATTCCAATTGTTAACAAATTACAAGATGCTTTCACACAGCTGGGTGTTCATATGCAGCTGGATTTACCCCAAATAGCAGTTGTGGGTGGACAGTCTGCTGGCAAGAGCTCAGTATTAGAAAACTTTGTGGGCAGGTAAGTGGCTAACTGCGTATAAATGAAGTATTACATTTTTTATTTATTTCGTGAAACAAAATGAAAATTCTGTTTATGTAATAAAGAGAATAATTTTATGCAAAGTTTATTTTCGTCTTTTCCTAAATAAAATTTCCTATTACGTAAGTTGCGAAGTCACGAAAAGTCCTCAAAAATAATATAATAAATCAATTATTAACGATGATGTATCTTTTCCAAATAATAAATAAAGTAATTAGAAAATAACATAGATAAAGAAATCGATAAATTATGACCTAGTTCATAGTATAATAATTCTAACTAGTATTTAGCTAAGAAAAAAAGTGGCTTAGTAAGATGAATATTTAAAAATCCACACCAAAACATAAATAACGAAATCTTTTTGCCGATATCTTATTTACTTATGGCAACTGAGTATTTGTATTTTTTTGCGTTTAATTATTCTTTTCGCATAATTTACATGTACATTCAATGTGTTTGAAATATTCATAGAAATATTATTATCTTCGAAAATATTATGTCGAGATATTTTTATATTCTGGCCTAGATTTAGTGCGCATGACGAGCAGTATTGATTTACTAATGCTTAAATGTCAATGGTTGAGTAGGGAATTAGCAAAAGCCATTGATATTATTCATTTTAAATAATTTTAAAATATGCGTTGGTAATAAAATATCTAATTATTTTAAGGAATAAATAGATGGATATATAAGATGCTAAATATTGAGGATAAATATATGGCCATCTCATGTTGTAATAGTGGCGCTCATTGAACAAACAGAGACAGAGTATGTTTTGAAAGGTACGGGTTTGTAATTTTTTGACAGTAGTTGAATCAAGCTGAATCGAAACGTAACGTAACCACCCACCACCATATTGAAAAATAAATTAGTTTATCGATGATGAATTGATGATGAGCAAGTGTTATTAGTGTTTTTGAGTGTTAAAAGTTTAATGTATCATAGAAAAAATGGCTGGAAATTTCGGAATGCAGCAATTAATTCCCATTGTAAACAAATTGCAAGATGCATTTGTGCAAATGGGCGTGCACATGTCTTTAGATCTTCCCCAAATTGCAGTTGTGGGTGGTCAGTCCGCAGGAAAGAGTTCGGTGTTAGAAAACTTTGTAGGCAGGTAAGATATCGAATCGTAGGAAGTTGTGTTGTTCGCTGTAATTAATTTTCCAGTGCTGAAGATGTCGGAAGTATGTTACACCTTCTTTGTTTATTGTAGAGACAATCGATTAAATGGTTCAATTTATGGTTGGGTCACCAGGGAAACAAATCACTTCCTTGGTGCATACATTTCACTTCTTTGTACTATATGAGTCGAGCATATAAGATTTCACTGTTATAAGTTATTTACTTATGATGGTTGTGGTGACTCATATGTTGTAACCTTCCCAAACAAAAATAATAATACCTTTGAGATAATAGAATTCTTTGTATTTTTTTTATTTTTAGTTTTTGCACCCATAAAACTTATATATTTAACATTAAATAACATAACATTTGAAATTTGGAAAAAAAAAGAAAATTACATATTGCCATATTTTTTTTTGTTTGGTGGTTTCAGAGATTTTGGGTTCACATTATAGTGGAGGTTTCAATATTTAATCATTTACTTATCTAACAAATGTAATAATATATATTTAAAGCTATTCTTTGCAAGTGGAAAATGAAAGACATTTAACTCCAAAGAAATGACTGATAAGATTATTAGAATTCTTGTTAGAATTGTTTTATTCTTAGGACATTTGTAAGTCAGAATTTAATGTTAACCTTTCAATTGCGGTAATTCGAGACACAATATTAAAACAATAAAAGAGTGAATGCTGCATTCGCTTAGGGTTAAGTAAATTAAAGCATGATAGTCTCTCAATTTCTATTCAATATCTATTCTGTATTCTGAGCTGTAATAACATATTAAATTAGAGGTGTAGAGGATAATGAAAAGAAACAATTGCTTAAATGTACAGTAGACCATTGAAAAAATATACTTTTCAACCATGGTAATTTAACACAAATGGTGTTTGCTTGGGGTCTGTTGAAATAAGCAAAATTCTGAGTCAAAATTACCAGAAAATTCTACCTACAAAAAATAAAATATTTGTTGCAATCCTACCTTGGGTTGAGATTATGATAACAGATATAATGAATATTATTTTGCTTTGATTTATGATTATAAGCAGATGTCTTGCACTGTGTTTAAAAGAATTTGGTATGGAACTAAAAAGTAATAACTTATAGCATGCAAAAATTGGTTAATATACCAATTTATATACATAATTAAGCAAACCATTACTAGTAGCTAAATCTAACAGCTGAACACAGATACTAGTCAGTTGAAGAAAAATAGGGAAAGGTCGTAACATATTATTTGACTGCACAGTTCGATTCCTCACAGGACAACTTTTTCGTGTGACCCACAAATTGTTGTTCTGGTGTCATGTGTATGTGATATTGTATGTTTGTAACTGCACCTACGACACAGGAGAAAATTCTAGTGTTGGGCAACATTTTTTTTTAAAGTGGTTTAATAAATTATTTAAGTCATTTAGTTACTTGCATTCAAATTCAAAGTGTATTGGTAACAGTTAATTTCATGAAAGACAAGCCTCTGTTACTCTGATAAAACCATACATAGCTTAACATAAAAAAATATTGTTTTATTATTTGTTATACTGTAAATTAGATTCTATAAACTATAGACAAAATAAAGGAAAATGATATCAGAAATAACAAAGCAGGTAATGATTCACCTATTTATATGAATTAATGATTATAATTATTGTCTCCATTGTTTTAAACATGAATAATATTTGCGTTTAAAATATCTGATAGGTAAACTATTATTATAAAATTTTCATGTTATATCCAAATACATCATGTTTATATGTATATTAATTTATAAAGTTAGTATTGCCCTGGGACCCTTATATCTAAATTATTTATTTAGCAAGAACAAACATTTATTTTTGCATAATATCACATCACACACCTACTGCTGAGCAGAGGCCTGTTTCCACAATGAGCATTAATCACCATGCTTGCTCAAGTCCAGGTTTCCTCACGTTTTTTTTTCCTTCAGCATTTGTTAGTGGTGTCTAAATAATTATAGAACATAATATAATTATACATTAATTTGTTGTTGCTTTATAGACTCACTTTTTGTATGTTTTATTGTCATGGTTAGGCATGTTGGTTTGAAAATGACTTATAATTTCATTTCAATGAGTCATTTCTCACAGCCACTTTGATTATATCTGGGTAAATTACGATGACATCAACTACTTCTTGTTGATTTTTCATGTGTATCTTCCATCCATCTTTTTTAGAAATGACTTGAGAGTAGGAATTGGTGTCTAATTTATTGGTTGAAGTACTTGTATGCCCTTGTATAGAAAGTTATCTTTGCTACAAATGGGCTAGCTTGACTGAAATTAAAACTGGTTAAAAACCTGCTACTTACTGTTTTGCTACTTGAGCGATATTACTAGATGCCAAATCTTTTTCCTCATCTCCAATCCTGAAATTTCTAGGTCCTAAAATGCCAGCAAGGCGCATGTGACACCAGAAGTGTCGCGAGTGTCCTCGGTTGCGGCAGGTTACTTACTATAAGGTTATCAGTCGGCTCGTTTGCCGCCCAATCTCATAAAAATACTTTTTTAGAGTCAGTCCCAGACTTTCAGAGAAATTCACACAATTATTTGTTTAAGTATTAAACAGTATAAACATCAGACTATGTTTTAACAAAAAAATTTTTTGTTTCAGGGACTTCCTACCCCGAGGTTCTGGCATTGTAACGCGGCGGCCCTTGATTCTTCAGCTAATACATGGAAATACAGGTACTAGAAATTCCTATTAGATATGTTGCGTTTTACTGCAAAGAGAACATTCACCATATTATGTTAAACTTATATATATATATATAACAGACAGTAATGTAGTTTATTATTGTGCAAAATGTGATCATTAACCTTCAGGCGTATTCCGAATGTTAAAACAACTAATTGGCTTACTAATAAACTCCATTACGGTATACGAGTTTGTCAAAATTTAACAATGTAAATGTTTTAAGATGCCCCCGACGTTTTAGTTGGTGTAATACTGCGATAGGCTCTGATATTTTTTCCCGGTCACGTATAGGTCACTAGCCTTCCGTTCCGCATGATCGGGACCTTACATTTCGTGGTATTTGTACTTAATGACTGATGACTTTTAGACGTTATAAAAATAGATTGCTGTTTATTTATAAAAAGGTTCTTAGGTTTTATAGATTTCATAGTATTTGAGCTTTGGGCAGAATACCCATTGACTGGAGGGATGGTCAGTGATCACATGATAGACCCATCTGTCTTGACATGTACCAGATTTCATCCGGTATTTTCAACGCTAAGAAGCCGTACATTTTTTGTATACATTATTGCGAAGTGTGAGCGTATTTCTGTATGGATACGTTTATTCATACAGTAGATTTATGAGGAAATAATTTACCCTATATTTTCTTATTTCTCTCGTAGAATATGCGGAGTTCCTGCATTGCAAAGGCAAGAAGTTTGTTGATTTCAATGAAGTACGTGCAGAGATTGAAGCAGAAACGGACCGTATCACTGGCTCTAACAAGGGCATATCACCAGTTCCGATTAATCTGCGTGTATATTCCCCAAATGGTAAGTTGTGTATACATTTAAGATATAGCTATTAGCTTTTTAAATATTTTTAAGCCCGCTACGTAGAGTGTGTGTGTTTGCTATGAGCTTGATCCCCTTACCGGAGGATTTAAGCCATGAGCGACAAGAGCATTAAGTAAACCATTCATTACATATTCTGAGACATATAATGTAACATACTAAAATTAAAATAGGTTGGAACCGGAAGCATCTTGACACGCATGCGTAACGTTATAGATTGTCAATTTTTTGAAGTCATTGGCCGACGAATGTGTAACACTTCGATAGCGTATCTAGCAGCAACGACAGAGCGACAAAACAAAGCATTGCCGGTCAAAAATCATGAATTTTGTGGATATGACGCATTTACTATGTGGAGTACCTACACTTGCGTCAGAATACTTAAAACGCCATACTATAATAAGTTATTTTCAAACCTCATACTGTCTTTGTCCTCAAGATGTATTGTGGCGATAGAAATTCTTTAAAGAACATCTTCAAGTTGAGTGAAGCATTGGAGCGTCATGAGATCAATAAAGCAAGGCCACGTTGCTCACCTTTGACAGAGCTGAATAAGATTCCACTTAACGAAATGAGTATCTAATAGTACATTGGTTCCTATGTGGCGTAGTTACAAGATAACTATTTTTATTAGGATACGTACCTACTTGTTTAAACCTAAATGCGACAATTATTTTCACTTCATTGAAAAATTGTTCCACGTAGATTTCTATCTTATTTACTATCGTAGGCCTTTGTTTGACCGATTTATCATGTGAGACAGATATAATAGATTCCCCAAGAAAATATCGATAAAATGAGCATCGATAGCAAATTTTATCGGTTATTTCATCGCGTAAAAATTTACCATGTGAATTATGTGTATAGCAAAGATTTTTCTTGGTAATAAATAAATGAGTCAGTGTTAATCGAGCTCTAGATAAGACAATGGCCGCTTAATTGATAATGTTATATGACACGCCCTTATCAATTTACTGTATATTTTATGTTTACTGGCTTAACAATAACTGAACATTCATTCATAAGTTCACCCATAATAAATAATAAATTCAATATACTAGTGAGTGACTAGTGGAATAGATATTTCTTCCGCTTCATATATAGAGAGAAAAAACACGTCGAAGTAATGTTCTTCAATATACCGCTGATATGTGTGTGCAGTCATCTTAATTATGCAATCTCTATTAAAACATTGTTCATTTGATATTCCATACGTAGTTTGATAATTACCTACATAACTAATGCTTCTTTAATGTCTAGTTGTTCTTCGCCGATATTTATAAACTCTTTACAATAGAATACCGCAAAGTTTTTTTTAACACGGGAATTTAGAATCTGTTTACATTAACTGTTATAAAATATCGAATGATTAAGACAAAAACCTGTTTTAAGAAGGCCCTCGTATAGTAGTAGATATAGAATAATACCCAAGTCTGTGACTTCCTGCTGCATAATAATCTTGCATATAGAACTACAAAACACGAGCAATTACGGTAGCAACATATTTTTCCAATAAACCAGTGATAATCACATTAAGCACACATATTGTATGGCAAGCATTATCTTAAATGCGCAAACGCTTAGAATATAGAGAATGTGTACGAGTTATTTTAACTACAATTTAAGGTAAAATATGAAAGATGCCATGAATGTAAGAATGTGCTTTATGGACTTATGAGCTTTATATTCTATAACTAAGACTGTATGAACAAAAAGTGTGCAAAGAAGGGTATTTTTAAACCTTTTTTTGAGGAGTGTAATACTCTTACTGACTAAAAACCATCTCATTCTTTATCTTCCGAGCCGATACATCATTGGATCTGTAACCCGGCTAGATGATATATTTAGGTTGTCTTACTTGCGCCACCAATTGATCGTCAACAACTGGCGTTTCTTCTGGTTTCTACTAAGAGAGAGATTGGTGTTGTATTAAACATGTTGACTAAGTGTCTGTCATTACCCTTGGTTGACAAGACGATTGTCAAGTTTGCCTGAAGTCATCAAATAATACACAGCATAAATCTTTCCTTATCTGCCCCTATCATGCAATACAATATTATCTATTTCACTGATCGTTACAGCTCTCAAGAAATGTTTGTTTTATTCGTCACATACCCTACTTTCATGCTAAATGCGTTATAAAAACGCCATTAAATAAAACTTTATCTGCATGCATTGAAGAATACTAAAGTTAAATCTATTATAAAATTTATGTTGTCAACATTTTCAGTTAACGGTTCATGACTTTTTATCAAAGTCAATAAGCTGCAAATTATTATTATCTGTTTATTATAAAAAAAACATTTGATTTTGTTGTTAAACAGCAATGCTTATTATTACGCGATAACAATGACCTTGTGTTATTCATTAATAACAACATTTCGCGCGTCCTAACGTATGCAACTTATTCATTATTTATAAAGAATCAGCAAGAAGAAATATTTTGGTACGGACAGCGGGTTTATAGGTCAATTTACGCTGAGTAACCATCTATGTCATGCTTTCTGTCAGTGAACTTTAATGTTGTTCATGATATTTTATTGTAGGGATAATCATATGCGTCTTTGCGGTTTTTCATATACGCAATTATAGTACTTATATAGAGTAGCAAAAAAATGATATTATTGAAAATGTGTGTAATTTTTCTTTGCAGTGCTCAACTTGACCCTGATTGATTTGCCGGGTCTGACTAAGGTGCCCATCGGCGACCAACCGGCAGACATAGAACAACAGATCAAAGGAATGATCTTCCAGTTCATCAGACGTGAATCCTGCCTAATCCTCGCCGTTACTCCCGCTAACACAGATTTGGCCAACAGCGATGCCTTGAAACTTGCAAAAGAAGTCGACCCTCAAGGCAAGAATTAATTTCATACTAACATTACAATCATATAATGAGTCATTGTTTAGTAAACTGAAAACTCCTTATTTAGCTGAATAGGTATGACGATGTTTGACTTCTACATAATAATGTCTGCAATTCGGATAAATAGACATGAACAGGTATTGCATATAGCCTACTCGGTTATTTAGCCGATGACTCGTGCATTAGCTAAATAAGTACCTACATTTTAAAACGAACAAAACTCTGATACCTTCTGTAGTTTGTCTGTGAAGTTCATTCAACTTTTCATTGTAATATGCTTTTTATAAGAGCAGCGGGGTACAATTTTAGCTATTATATCAGTTCTCCAAATCCGTTGACTAAGAATTTGAAGAATGTAAATGTGTTCGCTAAAAATATGTCGGTATTACTACAGGTCTACGCACTATCGGTGTGATTACGAAGTTGGATTTGATGGATGAAGGCACGGATGCGCGAGATGTGCTTGAGAACAAACTGTTGCCTCTCCGACGCGGTTACATTGGTGTTGTCAACCGATCACAAAAGGACATCGATGGCCGCAAAGACATCACCGCTGCTTTGGCAGCTGAGAGGAAGTTCTTCCTTAGGTATGTACTTGGTATTAAAAAGTCAATTTTGGTATTGTAACCTAACATCGAACTCTTAATTGATCGTTTTCGAAGTTGTTTCTTAGTGTGTCCTGTTTTTCTAGTAATAAAATGTAAATATTTTACTAATTTAATAGTCCGAAAACCATGGCAGTCAATTAATTAGAAAGCAAACGACATTGTCCTTATTATTAGGAACTGCTTGTAATGAGTCATATTTTCTAGAATGACGTATGGGTAATGAATACATCGAATTCAAGTGTAAACAACAACGCCGGGCTAACCTAGTGGTACTTGTGGACTCGTGTGAGGAGTTGCAACATAGGTATATCTGACATAGACATATAGGTCACTCTCGACTATCGGGCTGACCTACTTTCGTACGTCGATTGCATTTGTAATTTGCGAGAGAAGATAACCACTTATATTATCGGCTAAATAAATTAAAGTTACTAAAATAAAAAAGTTTCTTTAATACATTTGGTTACGTTATGCAATGACGCATTGTTTGACTAAAAGAAAAACATTATCAAACAAATGATTGATTAATAATATGCAAGAGGAAGTATGTATGTACCAAAATAATTGTTATGTAAACAACGATAAAGTGTTCAGCTGAGTTGTTTCATGATAAAGGCAAAGTTACAGTAATAGATCTAGGGCTACTTATACAAAATAATTTTGACATGGGATTTCTTTACGAAATTTAAACTAGTAACTTGACAAAAAATAAAAAAGTATTGATTGGGGAAATAACAAAGATGTTAGTAACATTCTAGTATGACCACATTCATGAATGTGAGTTAGATAATATTATGGAAATCGTAGGAAGTGGTTCATAGGTGAAAGGGATGATGTATTAATTGAACATTTCATTTTATTACAGCCACCCATCATACCGACATTTGGCAGACCGGCTTGGTACCCCATACCTGCAACGCGTATTGAACCAGCAACTGACCAATCACATTAGGGATACTCTTCCTGGCCTCCGAGATAAGTTGCAGAAACAACTGCTCACACTTGAGAAAGATGTCGACCAGTACAAACATTTCAGACCCGATGATCCTTCAATCAAAACTAAGGCTATGTTGCAGTGAGTAAAATCATTAAAAATGTGCAAAAGGATTTTATATTGATAGCTTTTTAATTCGATCAACCTAATAAAACTGGTCATATGTATCAGATTATAATAATAAAGCATCCATTTTTAATAATTTGCATAACCAGAGGCAATTTTCGAATGCAAAAAACTGTACAAAACAACGAATTTTAATTTCAGAATGATCCAGCAATTGCAAACAGACTTTGAACGCACAATAGAAGGTTCTGGCTCTGCACAGATCAACACAAACGAACTATCGGGCGGTGCTAAAATCAATCGGTTGTTCCATGAACGATTCCCCTTCGAGATTGTCAAAATGGAATTTGACGAGAAGGAACTGCGTAGAGAGATTGCATTTGCTATTAGGAATATTCACGGTATTAGGGTAAGTGCACCATCGTAACTATTATCCCTAGACCACAATATATGGGACTCGATGATGGTCTTGCTTAAATCTATCACAATAATGAGATATGCGCGTGGTCCACAGGTGGGCTTGTTCACTCCTGATATGGCGTTCGAGGCTATTGTAAAGAAACAAATCGCGCGACTCAAGGAGCCCAGTTTGAAATGCGTCGATCTTGTCGTGGCTGAGCTGTCTAACGTCGTGCGCATTTGCACCGAAAGGGTAAGTTTTGCATTTTGAGTGGATTGGTCTACCAGGCAACTATCGCCTCTAACGTACTGGATATAAGTGCGAATTCATTGTCAGAAACTATAGAGCATCCAGGACCATAACGATCCTTCGATACTTTCTTACCTTTCATCACATTAATGCATTGTCACACAAAAAAGAAAAGATTAGGCAAATCTTTTATACTGACCAATATCTTAACGTTACAGATGTCCCGATATCCGAGATTGCGTGAAGAGACTGAGCGCATTATCATGTCTTACGTTCGTTCTCGCGAACAAATGTGCAAGGACCAACTGGTACTGCTTATCGACTGCGAGCTTGCTTACATGAACACTAACCATGAGGACTTCATTGGATTTGCCAAGTAAGTAATTAATGATACCGTCATGTAATATTTACCAATAAGTTACCATATGAATTGTAAGTAAAAGATGATTTGACACTGAAGGTAAACATCATACACATTTATATCCTGGGAAAATGTTACGCTGTACATATTTTAATTTAATTTAAAGGAGGATAATAAATATTTATTGTAATGTAAATATGTTTCATTTTACAGTGCTCAAAATCAGTCTGAGAATTCAACAAAGTCTGGACATCGCGCGTTAGGCAACCAAGTCATTAGGAAAGGATACATGTGCATCCACAACTTGGGCATTATGAAAGGTAAAACCTTTTTTTACCTTAATGTTATCAAATTGTTTTATTACATGATCCAACCTAGTTTTTACTTAATTCTTAGTTCCTTATTTCACCATTTTACACATTGTGATATGATTCATGATGTTCTCTTCAGGTGGTTCCAAAGATTATTGGTTCGTGTTGACCGCTGAGAGCATCTCCTGGTTCAAAGACGAAGAGGAGCGAGAGAAGAAGTACATGCTGCCCCTAGACGGTCTGAAACTGAGGGACTTGGAACAGGGCTTCATGTCGCGCCGACATATGTTTGCACTCTTCAACCCTGAGGGCAGAAACGTCTACAAGGTATGGTAATAATAATAAAAAAATATTTTCGTAAAGTAGCATACAGTTTGGCTTGTTTGGTCAGGATAGCAAGTTACTGATACTCTTTTGCTGCCCCTTTTCCAGGATTACAAACAACTTGAGTTGTCGTGTGAGACACAAGATGATGTCGACTCTTGGAAGGCATCCTTCCTCCGCGCCGGTGTCTACCCAGAGAAGACCTCCGAAGCCGCCAATGGAGACGAGGTAACCTGATTGTTCATTCACAATATTATTACTTTCTGCCTGTCTTATTATTCCGATCTTTCTTTTCCCCTCTATATCTCCCCACCTTTTAAACTATTGCAGACATAACTTATCTTTACTTTAAGCTTATTTCCTTAATATATGGCTTTATACTATCGAATGGTGTTTAATATAATGTGAATTTAACTAAATATATATTTAAATATGTAATATATCGTTTTTATGTTATAAAATCTGTTGTTTTGCCATGCTATTCAGAGTGAAGGAACCGAGGTTTGTTTATACAGGCTTACGAAACATTACACAAGTACATAGATCACACTGAACACGGTGGTCGCACATTAACACTGTCCCTAATGTGGATTTCAAGAATTACTAACTGACCATTGGTCGTAATGGTGGTATTGTAAATACTTTCTTGAAATACATTGCCGCCGATGTAGCATGAGACGTGTAGAGTGCTGTTTTGTCATTTGGTAGTGTCACATGCACTTCATCATCATGAGTTGCGCCACCCACTCTAACAAACTGTATGTAATATCTTAACAACAAAGTACTACATCTGTCTATAACAGTAGGAGTTACACCTGAATGTTGTGCTTCGTTTGTTTGAGTATATTTGCAAGTATACAAACAGTTTCACTTTCCTTTTATTAATTTTCAAATTTTGTATTGTGGAAGTTTATTACAATTTTGTTTTAGCATGTTTATGTTTTTTTATTTTTTTAGTTTTTTCCGCCTTCCATGGGGTTGGGTGGAAAAAATAAAAGAGTAAGTGACTCGTATTTTAAAGCTTGTTTGCTGGATTTTTGAACTGTTTATAAGGGTGATGTGCGATTTTAGGCGGTAGATCAATTTGTATCATAAACTATTGTTGCATGTGCAATTAATAACTACAAACGATGCTCAAAGTATTAATTGCAAAGTGAACCTAAGGGATCGCCTTGGTATTGGTCATTTGGTTGTGAATGTTGTTCCTAGTACTGATTTCATTGGTTCGTGAAGTATTGTGGGCGGGGCGTTGCAGTGGTGAGTACTGTAGTGTGGAACACTTCATCAAAGCAAAGTATCGGTTCGTTTTGTCTAACTGTTAATATTGTTCTTAGATAGTCTTATTATTTTTAACTCCCGATACACTAACACTGCTCGTAGTCGTTATAGGTTAAGCATGCCGTTACAGAATATGCTTTATTACAACTTAAAAGACAGCTTATTATTGATTGATTATTAATTAAAGGTAAATATGCCAAATTGTCAAGTTGTCATTAAGGGAAGGAAAAACTACTCAGATTTTTTTATTGTAGCATTAACTTTATGTAATGTATGGGGATGAATGAAAAGCGTCCTTTTGTTATCGAAGGCAGAACAAATCAATTCAACAATTATTTAACTACCACGTAAACAAGAGGGTCAGGAATTACCATAAATACAACTTTCAATAGAACCTTGTTTTTCTTATGTTGGTCATTATTCATGCAATGTAACAATGTATTTTTCTACTCTGTCTACTGTTTTTGCATGCATATTCTTCGATCGCTGAAGTCTATTGCGATACTAATTGCAGTCTTGTTTGGAGTGCTACAATTAACCATAATATACTCGTATTGACTGGCAAAGCCGTACTACGTCTCGTCTCATGTGTTTCTCTCAGCCTCGCTTCAATCATCTGCGGTAATCACGAACCTTGCTACAATAACAACCGATATATTTATCCATCTTTATCCGTAGCAGTTGACTGTTTTTGTAAGCTAAAACGCTTGGAAGTTGATGCGTTAAAACAATTTAAAATGCTGTAGATTTTATTTATTGCATTAAAGATTGTTATGTGGAGGGAGTTGTGCTTCTGAACGTGACAAACCCTTAAAATTTTATGGCAAAAAATATTTCGTCGTTTGACATTGGCTGGAAATTATCAAACACGGGATTTGGCAACATTTTATCGTGAATTGTGTTGTCCGTTTGACGCTCAGGATGACTTTGTAAAAGCTAAAATGAACATTATTATTGCATGAAGAATGTTCTGTTTGCAGAGTTCGGACAGCTCAGGCACAAGTAGCATGGACCCTCAGCTCGAGAGACAGGTGGAGACCATCAGGAATCTGGTCGACTCTTACATGCGCATCGTGACAAAGACGACGCGAGATCTCGTTCCCAAGACCATCATGATGATGATCATCAATAATGCCAAAGACTTTATTAACGGGGAGCTGCTTGCACATCTATATGCTTCCGGCGATCAAGTAAGAGTTTGATTTATTGGTTTATTCAGCATTTATGTATAATTGGGGCTGGATTTAAAATTGGTTTTTCTGTACAGTCACAAATGATGGAAGAGTCCCCAGAGGAGGCTCTGAAGCGCGAAGAGATGTTGCGCATGTACCATGCTTGTAAAGAAGCGTTGCGGATCATTGGTGACGTTTCCATGGCGACGGTGAGCACGCCTGTTCCTCCGCCAGTAAAGAACGACTGGCTGGAGAGTCGCCTGGACTCCAACCCGCGACTGTCGCCGCCCTCTCCCGGCGGACCACGCAGAGCTGCGCCTGCGCAGCAAGGTCAGTAAACATTCTAACCGCAATACGAGTGTGTATAAATTACTTACATTACTTGTAAAAAACCATTTTATCGAAGAACTAAGATGGTGCCTACTCGTCGAATATAGTAGATAATCTAATGTTGTCTCCAGGTTCAGAGGGATTGATTGGTTTATCATAAGGACGTATCATATGTAGATATATCGTGGTCTAATAGATTTAAAACAAATCAAGCGGTATTGTGACATTTAACTATAGATAGAAAATAAAGGAGTTTGGCGTTTCAGTATTTTTTTTATGTTATCCAATTTTGTATCAGTTCTCTCAAAGTTTCTTTGCCTACTGAAAGGCGAACAGGTCTAGTAAAGGAGGTGGTGATATTCCAGGATCGCTAGGCGGACGTGGAGCTCCCCCTCCTCCGGGCGGTGGTACAGGCAGGCCTGCGCCCCCGCTGCCGTCTCGTCCCGGTGGCGGAGCCCCACCGCCACCCTCCGTGCGCCCCGCACCTGGACAGCCTGGCCTTCCAGCGCCACTTGTGCCCACGTAAGTACATTTAAAGTTGTGCCCACTGAATAATATTTTGGGTGGTCTCCAATATCATTTAGCATTGGTATAAAAGCTAAAAATTTAAAATGAATGTTTTGGGTAGGACACTTCATAAAATATTTAAAAATATGCTATTTTAGGAAGTGTGGAGGATTGTAAAAATACCACATATTCTTCACAAAGAAATCTTTAATATTTGTTGAGAAAGCTGGATACTGCGGAGACTGCCCATTGTCACTGTCTATTGTGCATTTGTTTTTAGAGCTCGGTACAGTACATGGTCTGGGGTTGCGTAGGTCGCAATATTTGTTTGGATAGAGCACTCACAATGGACGTGATGACTGTTCTTTGATTTGTATCAGTATGAAGTAATAAATTTATGATAGTGGCGCTTCCCGTCGCCGCGACACTGTCGATGTGTGAGCTTTGCTTCAAGTACTATAGAAGGCATTTGTGTGGGTGATGTAACAGCCATAATTTGCAGTAAACACGTATTGAGCTTTATATACTGATATATAATATATTTAATATATATTAACGTAATTACTTAGTCTATACATGAATTGTGCACGCTACAATAAGGTTCATAATCAGGGAACTAATGGTTCGGGTATATTACTTATTAGTCATGAATTAGCTTGTGTGGGGTGTAGTACTAATATAAATGACCGGAGAGGCAGCTGAGTTGTGTGTATGTGTTCGCAGGCGGCGCTAAGCGGCCCGGCGCGTGCGCACTAACTCACTAACATAAGTTACGTATCGACGTAAGGCACTAACTACGAACTTGTTAACTTATTACACGTTGACACCAGAGTAACTGCCCCAGCTAACCGTAAAGTTACCTTACTGTTCATCAGTGAACATAAAAACTAATTTCTTATCTCTAAGATCCATTTCTTGTTTTTCGTCTAAGAACATTGGATCAGTGACGAGATTGTAGTAAGTTAACAAATATCGACAAATTTATAAATAATTATACATATGTTATATACAATATTATTATTAGTCATGTAAATGATCAATACTTATGATACGTATGAAAAAAATGTTGCTTCCATAAAATTATTAAAGTAATAGTGGAATTTATTACCTTTTGGTAGAACACAAATTAAAGATAAATTATATTCTGCTTATGAATCCTCTGCTGGCAGCCGTTCGTTAAACGAACCTTTTTAATAATATATACGTTGAACGTTTTATTTAGATGTCTATTTTTTATTCCATAATGTGTAATTAACTTTCTGAATGTTATATTTTTGATGCAACTGGTTGTGTACTCATCGAACAGTACAGGCTGCCCGCAGACCGATCCATATTCTACGTAAACAGTATCCGTTATAATATTACGATGAATAAATGTCTATGCAAGAGTTACCTTCAATATATTCGTGTGACTATAATAAGAAACAAGCTGAAGGAGAGGCTAACAATGATTTAATTTGGATATTTTGGTTTGATTAACAAAAACTTGTTTTATTACAACTAGTTTAGATCAATTTTTGCAATGTGTTAACAATATCGAAGCACCGCATGCTTTTTGGCACTAATTTGTGTGATCCTCGTGATTTTATTATTTTATTAATATCGTTCGGATTATTTTTTTCTTTGGTCGTGTATCTATTTCTTTATGGGGATTCAAAGTTAAGTATGAATATGTCTATGCTCTTTGCAGTATGATGAATAAACAAATATGTCTACTATCTAGGAAATATCAATGTAGAAATTTTGTATAGTACTCTCGATAAAGTGTAATATTGTGTAGTTGTAGTGATGTATGATACAGAATCATTCACAGTTACCCTGTAAGAGTTGTATGTCAGAACATCTTGATAATTAATTAAACAAACACTTGCATTATTATGGCGGTTACGTTACTCCGAAATGTCTTACAGAGAAGCTGTGACAGCTTTAGAGCAACTTGATGTTATTGTTACATAGGACTTTCTGTCTCTTTCTTCTTTGTATTTAATGTTCGTATTTGACTGTTACTCTACCCTTCTACTACAAAACACGTATCATGGATGCACAAAGGATTCTTTATATCATTCTCCCCATCACATTTGCTTTGTGTTTGTTATAATCATTTTTGAAAAGGAAATATTCGTCATAAAATATATAGGAGGCCTGGAGGTGGACTGCCCGCGGGCACAGTAGCCGGCGTGATGAACCAGATGCCGCCACATATGCGCCAGCAGGTCAACCAGGCCGTCGGTCAGGCCGTCACCAACGCCGCCATCAACGAACTTAGCTCCGCCTTCGCCAGATTCAAGTAAACATGACAATGTTGTCCTACGTCTTTATGTGATGTACGCAAAATTTGTAGCGAACGTAGTCACTCCGACCAGCCGCTGTCGCCGATCACCTGACAACACATATCAGTGTAGACATTCCATGTATAATATACAGTCTCACCGACATATCAAAGTTACTTCCACTGCCCTACATACATGACATGATATCACATTTCATTACTAATGGTCTTATGACACACAATGTGTGACCAGTACCTTTTTGTTTTAGGATTAAGTGAAATTCGAATTTATTCCAAGTGACTGACTACGTTTGTTACAAATGACGTCTGTCCATCAGTAACAATTTTCTCCTTGATGTAATGGAAAACTTGTGTAAATTAATGGATATGCATTAAAATGTTTGTTTTAAAACATCGCTTATACACATTCTTATTATTAATATTGAGATAAATATATGTTAAAGTGACTGTAACTATTGAGACTATAAGCGATGTTTTATCATGTAAAGTTTTCTGTTGCTTATAATGTTTTACATGTTAACTTGTCCAAGCATTTTCAGAGCACACTGGTTAACTGCTTGAACGTTTAGTGTGAACTAAATCTCTTGGGTATAAATTGCAGTGTTGTGTTACATTGCTTCTCGTCCGACTGTCTGTATGTATTCCAATGTGCCTCTGTAACACGTACGCTGCACACCGACTCTGCTTGTGATACATAACCAACGTTACCGTAGGGTCTGTTATAGTATGTATCGTAATAATTTATTAATATGTTAACATTATTTTTGCTCAAAATCACGGCGATCACACATTTTATAAAATGATGAATTAAAAATAATGTTGAAATACTCCTATGACAATTGATATTATGTTACCATGTCGTGGCATAGATATTCTGTGTACATTCCAGTGATTATATTTCGGTACAAGTGAGATTGTTTGCAAGTGTTGCAATGGTAACTAGCAGGTCTAACCTAACTGGTAGAATATGCAATCATTGACCACTTGCAGACTAATCTACGCTTACAAACATGTTGCTTTGTGTAATGGAATTTAGGTTATAATTATTTAATTAGGGTTGCCACCCAAAGATATTAACAACAATAAAATTTTGTATAGTCGAAATTTTATAATGACTAAATTGTTCAGTATTAACTGTGAAGGAAGTATTGTTTCACAGCGCTTGATTATGTAACAATGCAAACGTACATTGGAGCCGCGCACTGCGCATTACTTTAATTATACTTACTTATGATGTAATTAACTTTATGTTACGATTAATTGTAAATGTTACATTCAGTGGCTTAATATAGGTGTATATTGGGATTACGTAGTTGAGTTGTTTCGCGGAGGGCATTACGGGCTCCCGGAGCGTGCCGGGAGTCTACGAGCATATCATATTGATTTGTAATGTGCTAGAGTTGTTTGTACACTAATTAAAGACAAGATATATTTGTTGATGTTGCCGCACCATGTCGCGTAGAACTAGCTGCGTAGGAACAGTCGTTGCAACATGTATTCACGTCAGTGTCTAGGTGTTACAGTAGTTTAGAACTTTGACACGCTCGTCTATTCTCTTCCTGTCTCCAGTAGCGACGATGCGTATTTAACGTTTATGCATTAATCAATCTAAAATGTACCCAGCTTGATTGTTGTGTATTTACAACGTATGTCAGTATAATCTGATATTTAGTAATCACTGGTAACACGTAACTTATGAACTCGTAACGATATATATCTATCGATTAAAGTTTGTATGTAACCTTATTGTACTTATAGTGGATAAGACCAAAGCAGTTGTCGCGTATATTGTTGCTGTTAGCAATACCTTTGGTCAATTATTAGAACATTTTATTGATGGTGATGATACAATATGAATTCGTTATTAAAAATATTTAATAAAGCTTATCGATATTTTAATCTCGGAATCGTCATGCATCTACTTCATCGTTTACTATTGCGATTGTCAGAAACGCAACATTGGCACTAGACAACATGTTGTCGGCGTTACAATTCAGATAGTAGTACCACGGAGTATGTGGTACACGGGCGGAACCTTGGCGGTTCAAGTGACTCGAGGCAAGCTTCATGCGACGCGAGCGATGCGACCGACGCGACCGACGCCGTCGCCAACCCGAGTTCCTACTTAATGAAGTGCATAACGCTACGTCTAGTTGTACTCATTGCTCTATCGACAAATAGCTGAATTAAAAAATATCGTTCATTAAACGTTTTGCTCTCTCTTGTTAATAGCGTTAGTACCATCGAAAAAGGTATAGGCAGTGATTGTTGGATTTGATATAGTTTATGAATATTGTTAATCTTATGCTGTATAAATAGAGTAATTAAATGCTATATGTGTACTAAAGACGTTTGATTTATTCCAGTAGTTTGGCCCATTGGCTATGTTACTAACAGGTTATGTTTTCTACAGGTGTAATATTAGGTAAGCCTGATTTTGAATAATGTTAGAAATATTTCAATAAGAATTGTTTCTTTTGTAGACTTCACCTTAAATCATTTCATGTTTGTAGTAATTTATATTATTTTCATAACTCTGTGCTATTTTAGAATTAAACGGTCTTGTTTTCTTATTGAAATATTTGCTTAGTTCTTGAACCGTGACTAGGAATATGCTTGCGTTCAGTTACGTTTCTAGGAATTTTGCATGTGTTTGAAACGTATTAGCCTGTACATACAGCGAAGTATAATTGTTGCTCATTTTAAAAGTAGCGTGGTGACTGAGCTACTCTTAAACATATTTTTGTATCCCATTAGGCGTTATTGTTTTTTTTTACCATTACAAAGCTCCTGCGGACGGTGTTTGCATGGCATTGCGTATAATTCATTAAGGTTCGGATTCGCTTTGTGCTTGTGGATGTGTCTGCGTTAAAACTAAAAATATCCCCTTCGTACGTCTCCTTATTTGTCGAACTCTCATTGTACATTATTTAGGTATTTAGCCATCACTGTAAATAATACGAGCATTTTGTTTGTGTGTGTGTGAGGCGAATTCTAATGTGTGTTTTTATGTTATTAGCCGTCCGGGGCCGAACATGCCGCCCAAGCTGCCTGAGAGGCCGCAGAACGGCCGGCCATACTGAACGCGCCAACTTCGCCGCCCTTGTGATACTAAGCAACTATGTAAATATGTTCCCTACCGTGTACCTACTTTGCTTACAATTATTTAATGCTTAGCATTGACTAATGACTATAAGTCGATGAATTCGTAAATTTTAATGAAAGTAGTTCAATTTGTTATTTTCTAAATATGAGCCCGTTAACATGCGCTTGCTGATTGCGAATTAGGTTATGTAAGACGAGGAACTTAAATAAATTTATGTACTAAGTTATTGAGATACTAATTTATGGTCGCGTTTATTGGCCTAATTGTTATGACGTCGAATAACTGTTATTCTAATGTTAACCAAGCAAAGTGATTAGATTGTGTCTGTACGTACATTTCGTAATAATGTAATTCTATTTACAGCACTAGCACGCGATCTTTTACATGTATGTACTTATATTGACACATTTACATCTGTTGGAAATCAAATTGTTAAATTCTCCAAAATGTTTCTTAACATCCTTTTAATAGGAGCGATATGTGTAGCAAGTTGTCGGATTTTCGACTGATATTATAAGTAGGATATTGGCATGTTTGTGATAGAAGAGGCTACTCAATAAAATGGATGGGCCTTCAGTAGAGATGTACTTCACATTTATCGTGTTCTCGTGGCATTTAGTATTAAAGCCTGGCACCTGGCCTATGGGGCGGCACTGCATCGTGTTCAAAGAGATTCTTATGTATAAACTAAGCATTTATAAAGTACTCCTCCGATGTATGTCTTCGCGCCTAACACTAGTCAACTTCTAATTTTATTAAAAAAAAACATTTGTTTTATTCCCAGTTATAGATTTTTCTAAGTAAATCCTAAATACTTTAGTTTTCGTACATTCCTTTTAGCCTCATGGTCTCGGGCCAGGTTGTAAATGTATATAAATGTATAAATATTATAATAGACCTGTTTATACTGTGTACTGTTGTATGCAACTGTAATAAATGTGTAAATAAAAACATAATTTTTGTTTTCTTTCATAAATTGCCTATTTCTATTCTATAAAGATTACCCTATTCGGTTTGGGAGTTCCGTGAAAGGGTTTTATGTCCAGGATAGAAGCTGTTATAGCAATAAATTTTATTTTATTGCAACATAAGAGCATTCGAATGCTGAAGTTATTTTTTTATTTCGCTGCCGTTGATGTGATTATAAATTGTTATTACCTAGACATAAATATTGTAAAAGAATAAAATGAAATATCATAATCCAGTACGAGGCTTTCCTACAATACGTCTGAATAGCCGCTATGCAACAGACAATAGAATCCATTAATCCAACATCGACAGGTTCAGGTTGGATATTATATGTTTGTTGTATGCAGTTTTAATTGAGTTAAGACTCGGCTCGAAGGGGCGAGCTGCTAATTGGTCAATAAAAGTACAAGTCTGGATTCGTCTCGGAAATTTGGAATATAGAAAAAAGAAAGCTGGATCTCTCACTAGACGAACAGCTAGGTAAGTGTTTTGCTGAGATAAATCACCCAATCTCCCGAGCGAGCGGTGGAGCGAGATTGTTATTCATACTGACAAAAAATTACCCCGTTCCTTCTTCTCTAGACTAGGGTAGTGGTACATTATTGTTGCGCCCGGGTCACCCCCCCCCGGGTATCCCCAGGTCAGGTTTTTTTTACAGGGGCAAATCATCTAATGCCTTCTGCCGCCCAGGGTGAGGCTAGAGAGAGTCTGAGAGAGTGTCAGGCTCTTACTGACTAAAAACCCCCCGTTCCTTCTCCTGCTCTGGGCCGAAGTCGCGGTGCCTCATTGCGCTTACCCCGCAACCTGGCTGAATATCAGCCCTATAGGGCCCCGCCTGTGATGGTCTATTGCCTCTTTGAGGCGCACGCGCTCGGGTCTGGTTCTGGTCGGTCGCCGTCCGCAGACTTGCGATTACGGTGGCCGAAGATCATTTCTCGATCCCCGACTCCCGGAATGTCGCCTACTGCGGCGGCTGGGGCGCGAGGAGGATAGTTCCCTCACGCGCTCCGCCCCTTCCTTTGCAAGCATCACTGCTTCGCAGTAAGAGGACGGCTTTCCAGTTCCAACCCCCAGGTCGGGCTAAATGCTTCTTAATGCGAGTGAGCTCTAGGATAGCATGAACTGCACGTTTATGACGTTTATCATTTTGATTGGCCTGCTCCAAACTAACCAATCAATTAAAGGGCTAAATGCGGTAAGCTTTTGATCGCATTCATGTAAAAATAACTCGTATTAAAGTTTGATGATATGACCATATTTGTGGGTGGATAAATACAAGTGAAAGTTTCTTCCTCATAGGAAGATATACATTGATTATGACAAGGACATACTTAAGGCAACTACCTCGATATGAACACAAGGGAAACATGTAATTTGTTATAGTCGAAACACTGTAGGTTAATACTATTTCTGTACCTAACTCTAGAAGTTACAGAAAGAAAGCTAAAGAAATAGTACCTATTTTAATTCGAACTAGGTATTTAGGTAGACATGAATCTAGCCATGCAGGTATTTGATTCCACAAAGGAGCTAACTTAGGTTATGATGCTAATATGTCAAAATATTAATAGATAAATAGAATGTCTTGTTAGTCAAGAGGTCGCAAAGTCGCAAGTGTGATAGTTGAGCAGGGCTCCGTAGGCAGTTTGCGGATTTTTCCGGTTTTTATGGAAATTTCTCACAGCACAGGGAGTATGGTATTGTGCCCGGTGTAAACCATAGGCTTACCTACCCTCAACTACATAATTGTTTGGAAGTGGATGCATTGTAAGTATACGTAGCATTAGGTGCATGTCTTCTTCGAGGAGTTCGATGATTTTATTGGCATTTTGTTTACACTGCACCTTTTTTTTGATGGGCCGTCATATGGCTTCTCCCGTACTGGTTGGAGCGAGGTGGAATCTGACCGTAATTTTTATTCAAATTGAATTGTATTGGGATTGTGTTCTATGTCATGCAGCTCCTGCGTCAACCGTGCAGTCATAAAGCTAAATTCTTGAACTTTTATCTAAGTACCTATTGGCAGCAGACTGATCTACAAGTTTACCTAAAGGTAAAAATATTATTAGTATTTAGGCTATACGTATACTCACCTACCTACTTACTAACCTGCCAAAACTATTTCTGTCTTCAAACGCACACAATTCATTATTAGGTAGTCTAAGAAATCAAAATATAAATGCTCCATGGGTGTAAGTCTAGGCAGGTAAGTACCTAAATTATAACCAGTTCTTGACTTTGTGAACTACTTACTTTATATTGTTGTCACCCTTGAGTTCTCGATAATTGTGAAATCGCATGTCCACTAGCACATTTAACTACGTGAAAACGTTTCCGAAAACAAGCTAGTTCTTCTACATAAATTAGGTAACTTTGAAAAACTTAGTGTTGATGAAAATCGTGATTTAGGCGCTAATGTGACTCCGATAAACATCAGTAGACTTTTCGCACGTAAAAAGTCAAGACGTTTTTAGATTTCTTGAATGATTATGAAATTAAGGAATGTTTTTTTTATGACGATAGGCTTAGCGGTACCTATTGTAACAGTCAGAGGTTGGTAGGTAGAGATCATTAGCTGCATTAAGCTGACCACGCCCAGTATACACCGCAAAGACAAAAACAGTGTCCATTATTACAATTTAATGAAGAGAGAAAGCGATTAGGAACGGGGACTTGATTAAATCGTCGGTGAGCAATTGTCGGGTTTGTGGCGGCGCGGCGCCCTCTGTCGCGGCCCGCGGGGGCCTAATCGCACCGACACGATTCTGATTACGTGTGATTGTTGTATCAATCATTTTCCCTATCAAATTATTCAGTGGCTGGTAATTGTATCGGCGTCGTCTCGTAATGGCCGCGGACTCGAGACCGGCGGAAATATTCGGCTGCACTTAGTCTCGGTTTGTTACCCGAACGATTGTAATTCATATACTATTACTAACGAAAATTAGAGAGAAAATTGTCGTCGTCAGTCGTTTGTTGATGATTGCCGTACCTATCATCAGATCTACGATGGTACATTGAAAAGCCTTGTTATAGGCGTTATAATGGCTTTAATTTTGTGTCGATTTCTTTCAAGTTATTGAGAGTCATCTTTAGTTAGTAGTTATGAGTTCCGGGTAGTTGAAAATTATATATCTACAAGTGGATTGTTAGGGAGTTAGTAGGTTGGCACCTATAGTAATGAATTAAAGTTAGAGAAAGTCTTAACATTAAAGTTACATGTTAAACTCGCGTTAATTATCAGGAAAATAACAAATTGCCTTGTTATGTCTAATAAATGTTGTACTTACCCACTTAATACCTATGAAGTGCCGAATATAAATCATTGAACAGCATATTTCCCTTATCGCCGGCGTGCGTGTAGCTAACCAGCCGATTAGCTATGCAAATCCGTGGAATTTACTACGAGTGCTAAACGGTGCTATACCGACGGCGCTTTGCATACCATAACGAACTGTATCGTACCTATTTACAAGTTAATTTTCTTCAGTATTTTACCAAGTCAGTAGCTATTTTAGTACGGAGTTACATAAACCGTTGTAATTTAGATCCTACTTATTGGAAATAATGTATTCCTTCCTATTAACTTAATATTTAAATAATGCATTAAACTGTATACTATTTACATTTATTTTATAGATATTACCTATATAAAATCCTTTAATAAAATCATTATCTAAAATTAACTAGGTCAAGAAAATGTTAAATATTACGTAGGTGGATAATGTTACGTTTAAAAATGTCTAATTAACGCAAATCAGTTCATTTCTGTAGTACCTATTTCTGAGTAAATCACTCCCCTACAATGTAAAAACGTCTGATAATTAGTAGATAACAATCCTTAATTAGTTACTAGTGGCAGTGACAGTTACATGGGTCTCAAATTAGCGGCAGTAAGAATCGGTAGAGATATAATTAAACAGTTGTCTAATTTAATTGGCAATAGGCGCGTTCCCACAAGTCAGAAAGTCACCCTCGCTCATTACAATCGCTCCGAATTTTCCCAACAATTAACATGCGAGGTAGTATACGTAGTAATTACAGGTGTGGCGCGGTAAACGGCGCGGCTCAATCACGCTACAGCCCCGCTGCGCCCGCTTCACTATGTTGCACGCTGCACACATTTTTGTGTATCACGTTCACGAATGATGCACATGACACGCTCAATATACCTATGAGCGATCTACTTCTAACAATTCGTTGTTTGTTTTAGATTCGGTAAACACCACGCAAGATTGTTTTGACCTACTCTCTGGGTAGGTATGTAGATAGGTAGAACGTACGTACGTACTCTACAACACAAATTGCGCTCATTTTAAATTTGTTCGTATAAAATACACATTAATTTCTCATTTGCCTGAAATGGGGGATACGTGCTCTAATAATAGTCTGGCATGTAATTACAATTATTATTTGGCTGTTACAATAATTATGCTTTTGCCGCTGTAATTGAAAAAGTTTGCCATCGATATAGACCCCGAACTGCTTGAAATTACGACTTTTATTGTTATTTCTTCTCTCCTGATTTATATCAGTTTTATTTGGCGGTTATTACTATTTGAACTTTTAATAATACGCCTGACCGAGCGACGTGACCAAGGATTTCATGACGAATTCGTCGTAATAACTCGAGTGTAATTTGAGAACTTACAAAGTGATTACATTGTATTTGATGGTTTCGCTTCATACGATTTGAATCCTACGCAGTATTCGTACATCATGATGTGGTAGGTACAAAATAATAGTTCCCAGTAATGGCATCTACGCCGAACTTTAGAGCGATGTGGGCGTCTGATAGTGTCTGACTGCTCTGACATAGGTAGTTAGATAGTTTTGTATACAACGTCATTACAATAGTGCAGTGGAGTCAAGTGGTTGACATTAAACAAAAGCCCAACGGTTACCGAAACTGGCAGCACCACTTGAATGTTCGAGGAGCGATTTAACTTTTTCTAAAGTGCAACACTTTCCCAGCCCTCGCGTAGGGCCCTTCAAACCGCTACTGCGTTTAGACAAATGAACAGCGTTGCACCCTTCACGGCACACGACATGCGGCACAGAGCTAGATTTTATGGAAGTGACTCGCGTAATTCAATTTGTATCATAGGCATAGTAAAGACGCTTTAATTTGGCTTTTGTCCTTTTTATCTATGTGTTGACTTGTTTTGTGCCTGCGAATCACATCGAGTCTGATAGCTTCGAATATCTAGTGGGTTGAACTGAATTACTAATATCTAGGTACAGGCAAAGTAAGATATTTACTAAAATAAGCAACTCGTTTCTATTTTACTTTATTTTTGATATTACTTTGCATGTACATCGCGCATTCGTTGAATTTTTCGTAAACTAAATCGCAATCTTAATTTAGGTAATGCACTTAAAATGTAATTGGTTAATATTTGTACTTATAATTTGTTATTTGTGTTACCCGTAAACTGATGTAGGTATGTTTACTGATTTAATAAATAAAAATACATAGAAGTATATTCTTAAAATAACACAACAAGTTAATAAGGTTTTGTGGTAAACATACAAAACACCATGCAATATCACTTCCAGCCAAAACAATTAGTCGCGACACACATCCGCCACAAAATGGCGGAACTCGTAGGACACAATAAATCAATTGGAGTGGGTGGTTGACTTTTCACTCAAATGTGTGGTTAATTGTAACCGAAAATGACTGTTGATCGAGCCACACTTAATTTGAGTGGTGCTTACAACGCAGGGGTTGTGCAGGGGGTGCCTTCCGTACTAATGGGTCCGTTGGTTTTTTGATTATTTCGATACTAATTTCCTAAAGCTGCCGGAAATAGTACAGCAATTATACTTATTATTGTTTGTATATCGTGTTTTATGCAGTTGTATGTAACGCACAGATTTTTATAAACACGCATGTGATATACAATTGTGTTAAAAATAGGTGAATAATAATGAACTCGAAAAAGTATATACTCTATAGTTAGATGCCATAGAACTAATATTAAGTATCTATGGTTATTTTTGAGATTCTACTACTTGATATTGTTCACAGATGAAAATTGTTTAAATATCTAGTTTTCGAAGGTCTTTAGGTATCAACTAATTAAACTACTATAAAACTAGTTTAATGACCAGAAGCGCTAAAGAGTGAAATTCTTTGCTGGAGTCTTTGTTCCCCGAAGGGTTAAACTGGGTATCTTCAAGGCCCGAGTGAATGGGTTGCTTATGGGTAGGCGTGCTCCATCGTAGGTTGCATCATCATTACGAAATAAATAAACTTCTAGAAGCAAAACAAGAAATTATTACACCACAAAGCATCCTTTTTATTGACGTTCAGATACCTACATAATAAAGCAATTTGGTTTTAATTCGTACGAATATAAAAAAGTACCTAAATGTAAACGAATACTTAATTTATAGAAATCAATAAAAGGATATTTCTTTAGGCCGTTTCTTCAGGCCAGTAGAAATCGATCATTTTCTTGAGTTTCTCGTCGATTTCCTTGCCTTCAGGTGGTTGGGGGCCCAGGATGAAGACGAACTTCTCGTGGCAGTCCATCATACCGAGGTATTGTCCTTCAATAACCTTCAGCCGCATTGGATAGCGGTGGAAGTCTGCTAGATCTAGTTTCGCTATAAAAAGGAATAAATTATTTTATTGCCATGTAGATTAAAAATATGTCAAATTTGAAACATTATGCACTTTTTATATAATAGTAGGATATTTACGTGTTGTAGCTACCAAATATTGCCTCCGTATTTTATTACGAAGTGAGTTTTTAAACACCGAATACACTAACAATATGATATGACCCAGGTTATGAATACGATATATTCTCTTAGTAAGAAAGTCTTTAATTAATTTTGTTGGCAATTATTTCTTTAGTTATTTAAACTATAGGTACATATGTACATACAGTTTAAATGAACAGAACAGGTGTAAACTTAAAGATTATCCATTCACCTGCTTGAAATCAACGAAGTAGTCTTACGAAGGGATATAATTCAGTATAAAACAGAGGTATATTAATGACTACACCTATATAGTAGTATGCATTATAAATAATTATCACACAACACACACACACTGACTAGAATGAATAATAACATGCATGAATCGAAAACATGCTTATCATATAATAAGACAAACATATCTTTATTGACTTCGATTTTAATCCTTACTAGCTTCCGCCCGCGGCTTCACCTGAGTGGTATTTTGAAAAAAAAAAATAGCATATGTCCAATTCCGAAGTGTATTTTATGCCTGTGCCAAATTTAATCCAGATCCGCCCAGCCGTTTTGGCGTGATTGAGTAACAAACATTATAACTTTCGTATTTATAATATTAGTAGATAAGATTATAACGAATTAAAGTCTCGAAATAAATATAAAATTATAAGAATTTTAAATATAAATAAAAATAAGGGAGTCCAATTTAAGCACAATGTTACGCGATAAATTAGATCTTAAACTCAAGCAATGAATTAAGAACAGCTATAGCTATATGATTGTTGTGTTATGTTCTGAAACAAAGTTACACAAAATAGACCTTAAGTCAAGGTCTTAAGAGTAATATTATTACAAATATTTACCAGAAGATGGAGGCATTTGCAGAGTCCTGTACGATCCGTCACCCTCAAGCTTCTCCAGGTAATAGTCGCGACTTTTATTGAAGCCAGGACTTGCACATGGAATCTGCATCTTCAGAACGAGGTTCTCCCATTTTAGATTCTCAACAAATTTGCCAATCAATTCTTTCAGGTCTTTGCGTTCCTGTTATTTTTATAATAGGGTATCGTTAAAAAAGGTTTGTTAACATCAACATTTTTACAATTTGTATCTTAAAAGATGAATTACAGGCTCAAGGCCTCGGTCCTCTCTACAAAAAGCCGGTCAAACATTGTGTACGCAAGAATATAACATTTCCAGTTGTGTAGTTAACTTAAATAGTTCCTAAACTACTTAAACAAGTATTAGTAGCTTACAGCAGGGTGGGAATGCTATTTCAACTAGCAACTAGGAGCTGCTAGTCAAAATAGAAGTCCCATCTATTTTAGTAAGAAAGAGTCTGACTCTCTCTCTCTCTCTCTCGCCTCTTTTGGGCGAGAGAAGAGATTTGGTGATTTGTCCCTTACATAAAAAAAAAACTAGCGACGTGGTGGTCCGGAGGTTGAACTGAACCTGACAAGTTACAATGTGACCTTTTTTCTATATTTGTACTTTCTATGATTATTATGGGATAGTGGTGTCTACACCACTGACATACGGTGAAGGAAAACATCGTGAGGAAACCTGGACTTATAATTTCTAATTATAAGCTTGAAATCAAGTTTGTTTGAGCAAGTGTGATGATTAATACTCAAACCTTCTCCGTGTAAGAAGAGGTTTTTGCTTAACAATTGGCACTTATAGGCTGATGATGATGATAAAAAAAACTACTGCTAAAATGAGCATATTGTTGAAGTTTTTTTTTACCTGATCACTAACAGCGGTGAAGCTAACACAGTGAGTGTCAACGCCTCCATTAGAATTTTCCATCCTCATGTGCAGAAGGTGCCAGGATCCGATGGCGCTGCTGTCGTTAAAGGAGAGGCCCTGGGTGAACTCCTGGCAAGTTGGGTGTTTCTCCTGTTTCTCTCGTCTCTCACTCTTGTCATGCGAGTGGTGTGCCATAGCGTCCGCGGACGCGTAAAGCACAAACACTGAAAATGGAGAATTACATTATGTTTTAAAAGAAATGAAACACCAGACCATTGCTTATATTCATCTTTCAGACAGTTTTGTTATGTTATGAATCCTTATATGGAATAGCATAGACAGTAAAACCACTGTTATACAAGAGTTTTCTAAAATCTTATAAAATAGTCAATAAGATGGCGATAATGACATCTTGCAGTTAGTTGTTGCATTAGATACATTCAACTTAGAAATCAGTATAAATGAGTTTAAAGGTCAGTTAGTAATTAATTTAAAAAGAAATTAGAGTACAATTTCAATTTAACAAAATCTATATTTAAAACAAATACCTGTGAAAATTAATGTGATAGTCGGCGACATGTCTGAAGCTGGGCTGCGCAGACGCAACTGCGGTAATGAACTGAATGACTTGATTGCGACTAACGACACTGGGATTAGCAAATGTATCGCACATCCGAAAATCGGACATGGCGTATGAATTTTTTTTTAATATTTTTTATTTATTATTTACCGATTATTGTAGTCTATGCTAATATATAATAAACAATAATAATATATAATTATGATCTATTTTTAATTATTCTTCCTTCATATTAATTTAGGTAGTTACTCATATTTTTGTAAAGAAAAACATGAGTATCTTAACCGAAACTTAACGTAAACCTAAACGAATACCAATGAGTTTAATAAAAAAATTGTGCGTTAACGCATTGATGACTAGCGACATGCCATGGTTTCGCACGGATGCAATGGATACTTAAATCGACCAGTATTTAATGGATGTTATTATTATTTTTTATTTAAATAAAACCCTTTTATTCTGAACGACATTGGAAAACAAGACAATACAGTATTTAATTATTTATAATATGTCACGCAGTTCGGCGTGCCTCTTGGCATAGGCCTCCAGCTCTCTCCATTGAGATCGATCCTCCGACTCTCGAGACTCTGGTCCAAAATGGATGTTATTATACCTACATAAAACCTTCCCCTTATTGAAGAGGAAGGTTTTTATTCACAAACTATTCTCTCTATTCTCTAAAACTCCGTTGCATTTTGAAATATTTAAGCACACTGAGGGGTACAGGGAAAGCGAATTTATTTTATGCTATGCAGTGATAATTTAGCTTAATTAACAACTTCTTAGCTATTTAAAGTACCAAGAAAAGTCACATCCATGGATTCTTACGCTGCGCGTGCGTCGTTGTCCCGATGACCGCATAGTAAACAGAATAAACAGCGACTTCCCGTCTCTGTCCCGACTGAGACGAGACAATTCCTCGTAATATGATAATACTAATCAATCCTTTTAGCAGGAAAATGATTTGGGAGCTATTAAGGAGATTCGCCCTTGAGTAGTACATTTGTAGATTAAAAGAACATGTATGTTTTATTGCAGTGCCCATATTAAGAGAAATACGCATAAAAACTCATTTTAACCCAGTTATAAGTTGTCTGTAAGTACATACATATGAGCAAAGGTCCTTCTCGGATGGAGAAGAAATGAGAGTTAATCACCATACTTGCTCAAGGGGAAGGAGATTGCAGACCAATAATTATTTACGATTATAAGCCTATTATGTTTTTCTTCCCCGTTTGTCAATAATATCTAAACATAGAAAGTCGAAAGCACATCACATTAACATTTGGCTCTTGAAAAATCATATTGTATATATTAAGAAAGTTTTGAACCCACACCTATCTTTACCTGTCACGCGTGTCTCATCTGTTTCTTCACCTCCATATAAGTTCCCGATAGATTTATGTATCACACAGTTATAGTACAAATGTCGCTGTACATATAAAATTTGACTGACAATACATGGGGACCCTTCAGACAATGTGAAATAGCTCAAAGAAATCATTTTAACAGTTAAAAAGTGTAACCAAATTTTATTTTTTAAGTATTATTCTTAGTAGATACTCATGTTTTATGAAAATAAGCCTGGTTTACAGTTTAAATATGATTATTGTGTTTTTCGAAATGTTTAATACATCATAAGTGTTCTGTTGCCGTTGGACCACAAGCTTTCTGAAACCTCATGTGTGGTTAAAGACAAAGAAAACGAGTGCCTTTTGTTTTGTATTTATCCATCAACTGCTTGCGAATTGTTACTTATATAACCTACATTCAAAATTAAACCTTTGACTTTTTGAGTGAAGGTTGATTTTTTATAACGATGTAGAAGTCATGGTCGCGCGGTCACTCGAAATTGTGCCTATAGGTTATGGATAAAGGTAGTTTTTTCGATAAAGGATATGGTAACGATTCGCATAGGGTTGCGGTTAAGTGCGCACGCGCTTCTTGTTGAACACTTGATTACCATCCTTTGTTGCTTCGCACGAGGTGTGACATCTGTCGTTTCTTTACAGAGAAACCTAAATGACTAGCTCTTAGTACGTGTTTGTTTTATGTGGAATTGCCTAGAGGTGTGGAGGTGTTTTGTCTACAGAATCATTATAAAATATATAATAACTATTTAAATAATTTTAAAATATAAAGTGCATCTGAATCCTTATCGTTGGTTGCAAATAAGATTACCGAATAAGTAAGGTTTTATTATAGGACTAATTTCAGTGTCTTGCTGTTAATTGCTCGCTTCTTTATTATAAAGTAGCTTACATAAAAATAAGTGTCGAAAAGTGGAAATGTTCCATTTTATAATAATTGCCTCTCTATTATCAGTTGCGTGGTATGCTTAAAAGACTTATCAGTTTCGTTGCCGTAGCGTAGCAGTGCGTAGTAGGTGCGTAGAGGAAGCGTAGCCGATGCGTAGACGGCTACGTGGGTACTCGTAGCGTATAATTTTGAAGTTTAACCAATGAACTCAATGACAACTGATACTTAGACGTTGTTGTTGAACGAAGTAACAATAAATGTGTCTAAATATTATAAAATTAGATGCTGTGACAAAGATTAACCGAAGAACTGGATATAAATCAAAGCTGGGAATCAAATAAGAATGCATTAGTCACCTGCAAGACATTATCAAGTTGTACGAAGCATATATTAAAGTTTCACAATAGAAATTATTACACAAAGTCATTATGTTATTAGTTATTTATCGTTTCCCATATCTCAGAGAAATAGAGCTTGGCAGAAATTAGCAACACTCAACAGGCACGCATTGCCAATTAGGCAATTATAAATGTTACTTCATTGCCAATTTATACCGGACAACGGGCAATAAATCATTGGCAGACGTCGCGCGCTCATTAAATCTGTTATTAGGTAGAAGGTACTACTCATTTACCTACTTATATTATACATGCGTGACTGATTTTACAATTGGAATAGTGCTTGGATTACTTAATTATCTAGTTGCAGATTTTATTCCGCCGTTGGGTTCCCATATTTTTTACTGAGGGGGAAATTTTCAAATTACTGCTCTCTTCCTAGGTAGGAGAGAAAGTGTCTGATTATTATTTTCTAAAAACTGCCCCATTCCTCTTCTTTCGTCCTATACGGGCCACGGTTGAATCAAAGCACATTGATGGTACGTCACGGGCCGCGGTTTATCAATGCGCTTGCACCCAATTGACGGTACGCCAATCGTATCGGCAATAGGTAGGATGAATAAATGAATAGATGCAACCGCATCTGCACAACTCTTTGTGTGATGCACAATTTTATAATTTATAAATTTATAAAATAAAACGTTGCCCCACTAGGATTTTCTCCTGTGTCGTGGATGCGTTTACAAACATACAATTTCACATGTCAATTATAAATTTATAAAATAAAACGTTGCCCGTTATACGTTTTTGTTGCTGAACTCATTTATCTACATACCTATGTATGTATAGGAGTCTTATTTATAAAATATTGCTAATTACCGTGTCATCAATCACCTAATATTAGGTATGTATTGACACATAGATCGACTTTCTAAAATTCTATGAATTCTAATTAGAAGGTGATATGACAGTGTTTCGAGTAACGATTGTTTTTTATTCATTAACACAATCTAATACATTATATATTGAATATTTATGTTACTTATCTTTTCATTTACTTAATGCTTTTTTCATTTTTCGTTGTAATCACTTTGTTTATCGTTAATCGTTATATATATTTATTATTGTGATAGATATTGATGATGGGTTGAATCTTGAATGACAACAACCAGTCAATGTTTTCTACTAAGAATTACCATGTCATGTTATAACATGCATAAAAAACACACATAGTATATGAAAAAATCGTTTTTTTCCTATTTTGATTGCAATCAACTGATGGCGAGAATTGGTGATTTAGGGATTGGGAATTGGGGACGAACGCAAACTATGTATTACCTACGCCAATTTTCGGCCACCGTAAGCACGGGACTGCGGTCGGCGAGTAAGGGCAGCTCGCTGCCCGACCAGAACCAGGCCCGAGCGTACGGCGCGTAGCGTTCCGCGCGCGCCTCAAAGAGCCATTCGACCACCACAGACGAGGCCCTAAAGGGCTGATGTTCAGCCGGGGTTGCGGGGTAAGCGCAATGAGGCACCGCGACCTCGGCACAGAGCAGGAGAAGGAACGAGGGGGTTTTTAGTCAGTAAGAGTCTGACACCTACGCCAATTTTCTTTGAGGTCGTAGTATCCCTCCAGTCTACTCTACTTCGATTAATGACTTTCCTATTAAAGAAACTTACTACGAACACTTCAATGCAAACAAAAAACAAAAATACACAACATTTTTTTTTAATACACAAAGTGCACTGAATGATAAGTATTTGGGATTCTCTATCAGTCAACTTAAGTGTCTAGGAGAGAGACCAACGAAAAATGGTACCGAATGTAGAACTCGGTGTGATACACACGATCTACTCCACAAGCTTTGTAGGACCATTATAAATAAAAACTGTCGATTCCCACGCGAAATCTCCCAGAATCGCTCTTTTTGTAATAAACAAACTGTTTTTTTGTGTCTGGTTGTGATGATGTGTATGTTTAATTGTATGTTTGCAACGTTCTTTAAAAAAAAAGTTAGAAGAAAAGAAGAAATCGCCTGTCGATTTTGCTGAAAGATCATACAAAACGAAAGTGTGACAAACTGAAAACTACAGGAATTTTGCAGACTCTACTAATACTACCTGAGAAGGAAAAGTCATAAAATGACTTCTCCCATCCTGGCTAAGGCGACAAAGAGTTTCAGACTCGTACTGACTAAAACTCTCCCCGATCTTTTTCCTGTTCCTGTGTACATCATTGTGTTTGCACCCGTAACCCTAGCTGCTTATACATAGTTATACTACCTATGACGAATAATCAAAAAGAAATATTATGTACTTAACCCTGATGGAAAATACCCAACTTCATCCAATAAATCATTCCTTCATTTCGCCTGAAATTAGGTAACGATGTCAACGTATTCATGAGCTCCTTTAGTCTTCAAGAGATGTTATTAT